CACCAGCTGCTCTTGGGGTCACTGTGAGTTGGAATTGACTCATTAGCACTTAACAACAACAGAAAAGACGAAAGGTGACCTGGTGTGGTACTTATAGGATAAGCACTGGACTGCTAACCACAAGGTCTGCAGTTCAAACCACCAGCTGCTCCTTGGAAACCCCATACAGGGTCACTGTGAACCGACTCAACATCACATCACAACACCACCACCAGAAGAGACTAGAAGTTTTACCAACAGCTCTGTTCCATCTTCAGAAACACCTGGCTTGTACACACTTGGTTTTTGTAAACAGGACCCAGAGAGATGGAGTTGCTAGGTTTTTTTTTGTTTTGTTTTGTTTTTAGTATAAACAACAAATCACTAGCCAGAAAAATGACTTGTATTCCCCACTGTATTCTTTGCGTCTTGTCAGCAGAAGAAACTCCCTGGAATAATTATCAGTTGCAACTAAATGGTGGTGTGCTAGCTCTTCACAGTGTGGATCTGGCCTGCAATATTTGTCACCCGGGAGGGAATTTTTTTTTTTTTTAACGAAATGCAGAATCTCAGGTTTCCCCCAGACTGACTGGAATGAGAATCTGCATTTTCACAAGATCCCCAGGTGATTTCATGCACAGCAAAGTTTGAGACCCGCCTGTCAGGTGTCGCAGTAACATTTAACTTGTCAGTATGCAACCTGACTTAACTTGGGCTTTGTAGATGGGTGCACGGGGTGTGGGTGTTTGAGAGAATACTCATGCTGCTCTTTACAAGTGTTTTCTTGGAGAGGATGGAGTGGGGAGGGGCTGAGGTTAGTGGAAGGTGGGTGTCCTTACAAAGGGTCACATCAGCAGCTAATGGACCTCCAGGCTCTGTGACCGCCTTTAGGTTCTTTTCTTTTTCTGCCATCGATGGTCTTTGTGAATCTTAAGCCTCAGGGAATTTCAGAGAATACAGTGCAAGCAGCCTTCAACTTTTACACGTAAGGAGAGTCTAGTACAAAAATCAGACGGTGGGCTTGCCGTATTAGCAAGCAGCGCTAGTCCCCTCAGAAAACCAGAAAATTACCTTAAGATCTCTATGTATCGGTTTTGAAGATATTTGAGGTGGTACTTACCGATGATTTAGTGTCGTTTTTTTCTCTATGCTTAAACACGGTAAGAGTGACTCAGGGTAGGCGTTGCTGCCTCTGACGCTAACATAGGTGTGATCTGTGCCGGCCGTCCCGGCCTGTCCTTCCTAGTGGCTGACCCCCTTCCCAGCACATCCCCCAGCATTCTACTGATGCTCAGCTTGTTCATCTCAGGCTGCTTTCACCTACCAAATTGCTGCATTTTTATTGGATCGCCTGGTTCCTGGGGTGCTTGGTTACTGTCTTAATTAGTGTTCCTCAGGCCACTTACTGCAGTGTGATGGGTGAGCCCCGTGGGGCAGGTAAGTGTTTCAGGTGTCAGTTGGCACCTTCCTTAGTGTGTGTGTTGGTGGGGGGGATCTGATGGTCTTGGCCTCTGAGGCAGATGGCCTGGACCCCACATCCAGCTCCACCCACCTGGATCCTGAGCCCCAATCCCAGCTCTACTAGCCTATACCCCAGTCCCAGCTCCACCCACATGCACCCCAATCCCACCTCCACCTGTCATCTCCTGCACCTCAGTTTTCACATCTGAGAAAAGTGCCGGCCCCCTCGTAACCACTTCATGTACACTAGCCACCGTCCCACTGGGTGGAGCCTCTTTGGGCCCCTTTTGTAGGGAACACACGTGCTGTGGACGGACTGTGGTGAGTTTCAGACACTGAAACCTAGATGGGAGCCGGGTTTTGTTGTTTTTGTCTTTTTATGGTGGTGTCGTTGTTAGAATTATGGCAGGTCTGGGCTTTTGGAGCAGCCCTGCAGGGCCACAAGGACGCAAGCAATGGCGTGCGACCAGCGGGCCCCTCGCACCAGCCCAGTGAGGGTCTTGGCATTCTGGCATGTGCTTTTGTACCGCAGTGAGCTGCCATCTTGTCTCTGCTGCCTCCAGAATGTCTCTTCCTTCCTTTCAGCCTCTGCTCACCCAGGACTGTTTCCTGACCTGAGTCGGCTTGGGTTGCGTCTCTCTGTGTCTGAGAACTGCAGTGACCGAGGCACTTACACTGGGGGGCGTCAGAAAGTTCCTGGGGAAGCCCATTCTCTCTTCCTTCCATTCCTCCACAAACTTGTGACGCCCCCTGAGACTTCACCTTTGATTGTGCTGTGATTTCTTTGGGTCCCTCACCTGTGGTTCCTGCTCTTTAGACAAAGAGGGAGTGTGTACTAGGGGCTGGGCTTCAAAAAGTTCATGGAAAAATGAAATTGAAGGGTAATGGACTCTCCCAATGAGCTTTTTGAAGACCCCTCATTAAGTCCCAAAAGAAAAAAGGCCCATGTTCTGGACTGAATTTTACACTGCCACTATATGTATTTAAGACCCTAACTCTTACTTTACCTGTGGGGTTAAGGAACCCTGGTAGCATTGTTAGATAAACTCCCTGGAAGCTTGGCAGTTTTGACCTGCCAGCCACTCTGAAGGAGAAAGATGCAATTAGCTGTTACCATAAAGATTTACAGGCTCAGAAAGCCTGTATAGAGTCACTGTGAGTTGGAAGCCACATGTTGGCACTGGGGTCCTCCCTGGGGGTGGAATCCCATCTGGAAGTCGGGTTCCTTTATTGTGTTAGCCTGCTCGTACTGGTGCCATGACTTGTGAGATAGGAAAAGAGCGGCACAGTCAGGAGAAGATTCGGTCACCAGAGGATTTCAGAGAGATGAAGCCCTTCCCCCAGCTCCCCGAATTCCGACTTCCAGCCCCTTAAACTGGGAATGAATTCCTGTCTGTTAAAGTCGTCCTCCAGCAGCGCTGGAGAACTCAGATTGTTGTTGTGAAGTGCTATCGAGTCAGTTCCGACCCATAGCGACCCTGTATAGGGTTTCCACCAACCTTGCAGTTCACACAGCTTTGCAGTCTGACGCATTAACCTACAGCGCCATACCAGGACTCTGATCATCAGAGGCATTTTAAAGGCAGAGACCTGGGCCGGTGAGTAGAGAAGAGATAGCCAGGACCATGCATGCCTTTGTTGTTGTTAAGTGCTGTCAAGTTGGTTCCAACTCATAGCCACCCTCTATAAGGCTTCCAAGGAGTGGGTGGTGGGTTTGAACTTCCGACCTTGTGGTTAACAGTCCAGTGCTAATCCAACAGTGCCACTCCAAGACCTGCACTATTCAGTACAGTAGCCACATGGGACTATTTGAATGTGAATCAATTAATTTTATTTATTTATTTTTAAAAAATGTGTGAATTATGTGATAGTTTACATGAGAGAACATTAATTTTACATTCATCCTATTGTATATTGTTTTGTTGCCGTGGTTACAATCCCCTCCATGCATCATCAACCAACCAAAGGGTATACTCAGCAAGCCTGACCCCCGGTCGTCAGCACACAGCCCCTCTCCCTCTCTATATCTAAAGTCCCCAGCTGCTCTATCTCTCCACGTCATCGTCTCTGCCTCCATCTCTGGTATCACTGCTTCTCTGGATAGGGTCCCGCTCTCTGCTCTTCTCCCTTGATGGTACCAGGGACCTCTGCTCCTAGACTGAAAGGTCAGTCACTCCCCTTCTTGCTACAAAACGTCTACCTTTACATTTCCAACCCTCACAATCAGTCCTGATAACAATTATTTACTATTGTATCACAGGAGACCTATCCACATTTCCTGCCTAGACAGATTGGATACTACTCAGTGGAGATTCTACCTTCCTCTGTTCCCATCTTGGTTTCAGTGTCTGAAACCCACCACGGTCTGTCCACCTAGGTTCCCTCTTTAAAGCTTATAAGCCAGTCACTTCTTGCCTTTGTAGCCCCCCACTTTGGGTAACCAATGTTCAAGTTGCCCATCCCTGTATATTCTGTGCATGGAAGGGGGGGTGGGAATGATCCTCGCTGTAAAAATTAGCTCCCTCTTTTGAGCTACTGCATCCATAGGTGTAGATCAAGTTCATCAAATTGTATCAGATTACTCTTTTTTTTTTTTTTTTTTTCTTTCTTCTAGTTGAGCTCTGATCATCCAGTCATTGAAGCCAGGTCAAGTGGGTGTTACCTGCAAGTGTGGGTTTTCTTGTGCATATGCCCTCTCTTCTTAGCAGCTGGATGCTTCACTCTCCACTCTAGTCCTCTGTGGCTATGTCACTGACTCTGGGCCCGAGTCCCCAGGTCTTGCCACACTGCTGGCCAACCAGGTCCCCACCTGGGTTCACAGGAGTCTGTTGAACACTGTAGGGCTTAGCTCACAGCTTCATTGCTGTTTTCCCCTCACTTCCCCTTATCGGTGACGAATGTGGTCACCAATCAGACATGTATTCCCATTGAATCTTAGTCTTGGAAGGGGGTTTGCCGATTAAATTTTTAATTTCAGTACAAATAAAGATTTAATTCCTTGGTTACACTGGCCACGTTTCAGGGGGCTCACCATTAGCTGTGGCCGTGGCTGGTGGTGACCAGCATGGCTGTGAGCATTTCCACCATCACAGAACTTTCTATCAAACTTCTATCGAGAGTCAACAGACTTGAGGCGGCCTTTTTAGGAAGTGGTGTCTATGAGTTCCAGATCAACTTCATTCCCCCAAGAAAAAGGCTTTTCAGCATTTTCCTGGGACTGAGACACCAGAGTTTTAGAGAGGTGGATTTCCCTTTGCATTCAGAATCTGTTCTTTGTTACTGTCTCATACAAAAGAATATGCAGGCCTTCGACATAGCTTGTGTGTGTTCTTACTCCAACCCAGCTGGTTTTCAACAGCTGTTTGCCAAAGCAGCCGGCTCACCAGCGCTCACCTACGGGCCACCAGTGGTAGCTGGCTCTTTTTCATAGCTATAAAGGCACCCTCTGGTGGGCTGCACTTGCCCATCTTTCCTCCTTTGGTTGGCCGTTCCCTTATTTCAATTGAGGGAAGCAGATGACCAACCTGAACAAAGCCGACCTTCTCTGTAGAGACTTGCATTCAGTGATTCAGCTGCAGGTTGAAGTGGGTGTCATGTTGAAAGTGCCAGTGTGGGTCGGTCAGCCCTTCTGCCTGCCGTAGAACTTTAAGTCTGTGCCGCCTCTCCAAACAGGTCACCACAAGGGGATCCGGGGAGGACTCGAATTTGTCGGCAAACAGAGAAGGCGATCGAATGATCCAGGGCAGGTCTCCCGGTCCGTAGACACAGATATCTTGGATGTACCGGCCTGCGGAAGCAAACGCAAACCCTTAGCTGCCTGTTTCTCCACCAGTTTATATTCATGCAAAAAAAGCGACCCCCGCTGCTTTTGTGTCGACCCTGATGCTTAGCTTCATAGGGGTTTAAAGTACGCATGGTCTCATTGATTTCTCTGAGGCTTGGATTTATGATGGGAAGGGAAGCTGCCACTGTTTCTGTCAGTGGTTTTGAAGACGTGTCACGGCTACTTCAGATGCATACTATGGGATCGGTATCTGGTTGTGACCCGAGGAGGTGAGAGAGCGGGCATTTGTCCTGGGAAGTCTAGAATCTGACAGCCTCCATCTTAAGTTCCATACAGGGTTTAGAACTGGTTCTGCCCAGGTCAGTCATGGCCAAAGTAACAAAAACTCACACAGACCCGAATTTTAAAAACTAGAATGTACTGAAACGGGAAGAATTACAGGTCAAATCCCTGCTAGAAACTTAACCGCCTCTTAGAAAAGAAGGGCATTGCATGGCAATCAAAGCTCCTGAGAGGCAGAGTTGGAAATAATGGTGCCCGGCTCAGAGACGGTGGCCGACTGCCCTGCTCTGAACGTCTGCTGTCCCCACTGTCCTGGCGGTGTCACATCTCTACGTCAGCCTCCAGAAAGACAGCTGGGGGGTTGGGGGCGGGGGGTGGGGAGGCACAGGATTTGGAGACCCAGCTCTGCCACTTCCTGTGACTTTGGGAGTGACCTCACTTCTAATCTGTGATGTGTGAAGAGTGATGCTTTCTACCCCGAATTGTGAGAATTGACTTCCTAATGGCCAACCTGCACCCGGAATGTCTTGTCCACCATCCCCACAGTAGGCCTGGGTCCACTGACAGACTGACCTCAGTGCCCTTTGCCAGCAGAAGAGGTTGCACACCAGAGCCAGCAGCAGAGCCAGCGATGGAAAGAGCCTCCCCTGAGAGTTTACGCTCACAGGACAATGATTAGAGTTACAATAACCAGACTCTTCTCCCAAGTGGTACTCAACACCTGCTTTCTAAAAGTCTGTTACAAGAACAGCTCTGAATTGTGACTTTATCATCGGCAGCAACCGCCCCGCAAGGCTTCCTAGTCCATCTGCACAATTTAGGGAGAAAGCCCTTCCTTCTCTGATCACTTGTTTCATTGTCCCAAATGATTTCATTGATGCGGTGACAGCAGCAGTGGGCTCAAACATACCAAC